ACCCAGCCAGCAGCATTGTTTCTAATAGCAAAAATGAAAACCCTCTCAGTGTCCATCAATAGGAAAATACATAAACTGTCACAGACTCATGCAATGGAATACTGAACGTAAGAGTAAACTGTTGCCACATACAAAAGCTACTCGCGGAAGGATATGTTCAGTTCATTGAGGCCTCATAAATTAAGGGTAAAAGACTGCAGGACAATACTCCTATTGCTTGTGGACACACACCCACGGTACAAGTAGGAAAACAGGCCCAGGAACACGGTTAGCTTTGGAGAGGGAGGGGTACTCAGGGGCTTCAATCCTACCTGTGATGTTTTCTTTCTTAAGCAGTGGACATGCAGATGGCTGCTAAGTTGTTTTCCATACTTTTGTCACTTAAAAAAATAGTTTACCTTATATTCCCAGAGATTTTGGGGGGGCTTCACGCCTAGTGCTTTGACACGTTCTAGCTCCATGAGGATAGCTCTCCTGTGGCTGCTGTTTTCTATAGTATATGGTGCCCTGGAAAATTCTTCCTCTGTCAAGCTTAAAAGCAATCTGTGGGGGGACGGGGGTAGGAGAAGGTTTCTTTTGAGATTATATATTGCAAGCAAACTTTCCACATTCAGAGTTCTACCTTATTGACTAAATACTTTAGGCTTGAAGTTAAGGTGAGACATTTAATATATGCAACGACATTAATAACAGCAAATAATTGAATTGCTTACTATTTGCCAGTGACTATCTGAAAATGCTTTCCATAAATCATCACTGATCCATTTAACAGTTCTGCAGGGAGGGTGGCATTACGCCCCTTTAGTGGATCAGAAAACTGGCTTAGAGAAATGAGGTGATGTGCCGAAGGCACACCCAGGTCTGTTTTGTTCCTAAGCCTTTGATTTTCCAGTTACACACTCTGACCTCTCACATATTATTCTATTGTTATAAGTGTGTATATATAGAAAAAAATTAGAAGGAAATCAAATAAAACATTGTAACATTAAGAGTAGTTGTTTTGGGGTAGTGATTTAATAAAAATTACTGGAGACTCTTTATGTGCTCTCCTCATCAGAAAACAGTGACTTGCCATTAAAAATGTCACCATATGCTGGCGGAAGCGGAAGAGAGATCGGCAGGCACACGCAACCGCTGGCGGAGGAGTATAAATTAATGGTCTTTTTGTGGATACTTTAGTAATATTTATTCAGGCTGTACAGAGCTATTCCCTGTGATTCAGCAATTCCGGTTCTAGGAATTTATCCTCTGGGAGACAGTTATGCAAAAATACATTGTAATAATGAGGTAGAGAATTTTTTAGATCATAATTTCAGGAGGTGAATTTCTATAAAAAACATATTAAAGTGGGAATATTTCTCTTCCCCAAAGGAGAGCTCAAAGGAGGGGAGAAGTGACTGGAGTGGGAAGGGTGGCAGCTGGGCAGCCCCGTGAAGAGTGGATCTCGTGTCTAAAATAAATGACTTAGAGTGCCTGCTCCCATCACTGTGTGGTGTTCCATGTAACACCTCCACGCAGGGGGCGGCTATATAAATGAATATTATATTCACACATATACACACATGTATACATATAAACAGTCTGTCTAGTACAATAGTATTTTCAGTTTAAATTAAAAATAATACATTTATATATTATACATAG